CTGATTCGGTTCTGCAGGTTCTCTGCTGGTACACTGGAGATGGGGATCAAGCAGTTTGTCTCACTCGGGATAGATTGTGCTTTTTTGGTTCATAGTTTTTGATTGACGTGCGATTTATTCGCGTTTAGAGGGAATAAATTTCCGTTATAACGGAAACGTGGGCACAGTTATCTATATAAAATACACAGACTAACTAACTAACTAACTGATTGACTAACATAAACAACTGAAAACTGAAAAAAATTAGCTTGCACCGTTAGCTCCGGTAAGGGAAAGCATGAGGGAAAGCGGCTGATCGGAAGTCACACACAAAAAAACGGAAGTTGATCACTATTTACTTCCGTGTTTGAAAATAAGGTGGATAGCTAGGTGTATAACTGGAAAGTTTGGTGTACATAGGTGCTGCAGAGGCTGAAAAAAACTCATTTTGAGAAAACTCCATTCAAAGATTTACATAATAACATTATACAAGTAGACAAAATTTAATAAAATAAACATCTAAATGTATAATTTGAATGTTTTCTTTAAAGCAGTTTGAGAGAATACATATCCAAGGAGAAAACTCGCCCAAAATCTCAAAATTGACCACTGCATGAAAAATAGATGTTTTTGCCTTCCATGTCTCGCATTTGATCTTATTTCGTTCTAATTTAAATGTTCGTGTACATGTTCTATGTGTGTTTACTGTGATGCACAAAATGACAAATGAATGGGTTCAACAAATCGACATTAAACTGCAGGGGAAATAAATACAGATAAAACCCACAGCCTCACATTCTAACAACTCCAACTGCTATGAACAGTGAAAGGCCTTTTACCTTCTAAGGCCTTGTTCATACACAAGTGTATTTGAAAACAGCTTTTGGCTAAGGAGTTTTTGGCTTGAGATGCCGAATGTGCATCACAAATGAGGCAACATTTCATGCAATAGCGGAGGTGGCCAGATAGTGCTGGCCTTAACCTTGCTAACAGGACTTTTTGCATGTTTACACATCAATGTGGAGTTACTCTTCCACTATATTGAGAAACAGAGGCTTCAGTATGAGCCACAGAGGCAGCTGCTCCAGGTAGCCTTCCAGTAACAGCTTTTTTTTAGGCGTCTGATTGGCCATGTTTTCAAAAGCTCCTGTGTCCCTTCAACCTCACCTAACTGGTACCTACCACCTGCTCAGATTGCCTTAGGGGGAGTTAAATTGGAAAAAAAAATCATTCTAATAACACACAATAATGAACAAAACAATGCTTTATCTCAGTCCGCAGACTTTAAAATAATGTAATGGACTGCACAACAGTGTTAACCTTCTTTCCACAACTGACGCCCTGCCGATGCACACCTGTTTCCACTGTCACTGATTGAGCACCCTTATGAAAGTTAATCTTGCAAACTAAAAAGATAAAGAGTCACCATCTTTAAACACACAGGTGCCAGGTTGATTTAAGGACAGAGACAAGGAAACAGTGATGAGACATGAGTGTAAATTAATACCGGGCTGGTGGGAGGGTGCACACATCAATAATCCCCATCAATCTCTGGAACAAATTATGAGCTGCGTTCATTTAAAATCCAATTATCCTCATTATTGTCAGCAGTTGATGCATGTTAATGATGCATGAAATAGCTGAACATTTTTTGAGACCGGCGTTGTCACAGGGAGTGAGGGTGTGATGACAATCAGGCGCCACAAGATGGAGAAAGAGTTCTGTTGTGCTTCTGTGAACACCAAGGCAGAGCTTCAGCGGTGTGATAAAAATAAAGGAAAAGTGTGACTCATGATAATTAGCTTTCACTGAACTACATTTCAGAAATTCAAATAATTAGTCTTACTTGAGAAAGGGCTTGCTGCACATTTCTCTGGAGTTTCTCTCAGAGTTGATTCAGTTAAGAGGTTGTGTTGAAACATTCAAAGGCAATTAAATTCAGTCTGTCTGTTTGCAGGCTTTTGTCTTTTTGTGTGTGTGCACCTGCACGCATATATTTGCCCACATTTGGCATCCCTCTGGTCTTTGGCATTACCTGTTCATGGAAGTTAGGCAAGGTCTTCACCAAGGTACTATTTGTCATCCGGATCACGTTCCAAAACTGTTCCAGGGGCTTATGCAGCAATAAATTATTAAATCTTGATGGAATTCTTGTTGTTTTGGCTGATAATGTTTGAGATACAAAGAACACAAATGAAAATTAAAAATGAAGAGCAAAGAAATGCACCCTCTTTAACTCAATAAACTTAGTAAACTTGCCGATTCAACGTTTCTTGGTCTAATGTGACTGGTAGCTTATGGAGGCTAATATTAAGAATGGTTATACTGGTTTTGCTTTGTAACTGACATTTGGCTGTGTAGACATGCAAACATATATATCAAACATATGCCCAAATTTGGCATCCCTCTGGTCTTTGGCGTTACCTGTATATGGAGGTTAAGCAAGGTGAAGGAAGGTAGCTACTATTTTTCATCTCGATCACGTTTTAAAATGGTTCCAGTGGCTTATCTAGCAATACGTTATTAAACCTTGATGGAATTCTTGTTATTTTGGCCGATAACTTTTGAGACACAAAGAAGACAAATGAAAATGAGAAATGATGAGCTATAAAATGCACCCTCTTCAATTCAGTAAACTCAGTGAATTTGCCTATACAACTTTTCTTGGTCTGGTATGACCTGTAGCTTACGGCGGCTAATGTTAGCTCATCTGAGCAAAATTTAGTCTCGTGTAGGTATGTAACTGATGTATGTCTCTTTATGTTTGTACACATGCAATAATATTTATCATATATTTGCCCAAATTTGGCATCCCTCTGGTCTTTAGCATTACCTGTATATCGAAGTTCAGAGAGGTAAAGGAGTGTCGCTACTATTTGTCAACCAGATCACGTTTTAGCTAGCAATAAATTATTAAACCTTGATGGAATTCTTGCTGTTTTGGCTAACTTGAGACATACTGAACACAAATTGAATATTTAAAATGATGAATAATAAAATGCACCCTTCTTCTTCTTCTTTTTAAACACAGTAAATTGGCTGATACAACCTTTCTTGGTCTGGTATGACTGGTAGCTAATGGTGGTTAATGTTAGCTAATCTTAGCACAGGATAGCTCAGAATTGCTGTGTAAGTGAAGTGTGTGTTTAGTGACTTGACAACCAGTGGCTGATCTTTCTGTAGGCGACAGAGGAACCTGCCTAGGGTGCTATCCAGAGAGGGGACAGCAAAATTGCCCATCTAGGGTCTGATACAAAAGACATATTGCAAATCTGCACATACGCTATTCTCTTATTGTTTTTTTTATTATATATTTGTGTTGACATCTCATTAGCCGCTGTTCTTGTTAGTAATAAATACAATAAATATGCAACATAACAAATATAGGGGTGGCAATGGAAAGTTGCCTCGGGCACTGAATGTGCACAGTCTGCTCTCTTCTTTAAAACTTACATGGGATCACTTTTATACATCTAGTGAAATAAACAGAATCTACATACTAATGCAACACACGTGGTGCTTCTAAGTCAAGCCGTAAACCAAACTCTGTCAAAAATCACCTTCTAAATTCCCTTCAAATGGCTCCATAATAAGGCTTATACACAAGCGAAGACTGTTTTTCAGATTTGGCCCCAGAGAGAGCTTTTACGACTCATAAACATCATTGATGACTTATTATAGCCCATATGCACGACTGCACTGCACCCGAGTCTCTTGGGTTACAAGACGTGGAGAGGAGGGATCCTGCCCTTTTAACAT